TGGTCGCATGGCGATGGCCTTGGTCGTCATATGAGTAAACAATGGAAAGAGAAAGCATGAGCGCAGCTAGGCGAGCGAGGGCAGCGGCTCGTCTTCGGGCACGATGCGGCCTTCGGTGGGCACGAGGATCGGGATGCCACCGCGGATCGGGTAGGCCACGCGGATCTCGCGGCAGAAGAGAATGCCTTGGGCCTCGAGGTGCTCGAGCGGCAGCTTGGAGATGGGGCACACCAGGTGCTGCAGGACGCTAGGGCTCGCGAGCGTCGTCGCCGGCGTCGTCGTCGTCGTCGTCGTGACCAAGGTCCGTGCCCATCGCGCTGGACCACGTGCTACGTGCCACATTTGGATTTTGGTTATATGTGGCATTTGCCATTTTATGTAACCTCTAGAATTTATATATATTGGGTCTTGATATGCATTGTGACGGTGCCGAAACCGCATGAGTTCTCCGACGTTGCAGGAGAACTCAGAGCGCGAGATTGTCAGGCACGAGAGGTGATGTTGACTTCCATCCTCTTGGGCTATGCTTGTCTTGAACGCATCGATCGTCCCCGACTAGAGTAGCATCAATGCCACCGACTTGAAGACTCGTAAATGCTCTGGAAGGCACCCACCATTCCGAGACGACGTGGACATTTTTTTCGAGGTGTCGAGCCCAATGTGTTGAAATGAGTTTATGTTCTGTCGGTAGCATTCCTTCTATGCTATTTACGGGCGAATGATTAGTACAAACCTCATCGTGCGCGCCGTGAAGAGAAATGTGTACGAAGGAATAGAAGTTTGCAACGACTTGGCTCTCCGCCGGCAACGAAACAACCGCCCCCGAGATGCGCGCCATGGATGTATGTGTGCCAGCGTCGTCATGGATTGCACATAATGGGCACGCAATAGAACGCACTATCGACTTGTGTTAGCCAAAGATCATGCGCTAGAACGGTGCAGTGCCCAGGGCGTGATTGCGTGAGCGGGCTTGAACCTTCCATTATGATCACGTGGGTGTTTGACGGTTGAAGCTGCGGTCAACGGACCCTCGACTGAAATCTCGTCGTCAACGGCGTCAACGACAACAGGATGGGTCGTGCTACCTTGTTCCTATGCAGCGACGTGTTTCCTGGTACACAAGAAAGAATTGGCGCATGGATTGACGAGGTAATATATCGCTTATTGATATAATGCCAGAATGGACGTCTCCTTGGGAAGAATCACGGTCGAATTCGAGTTGACAGAATGCAACAGTTTTAAACAAATGCGTTATCGCTTCATGGGGCCGTGGCCGCACCCCTTTTTCGAAACTTGCCGTTTCATCACGGTACTCGATTCTCATTGGCTGCGAAATCTCAGCTTCATCACACCAACAAGATCGCAGCTCGCACACGTCATTTTCCAACTGGGATGGTCGCCACGAAGAAGCGCCCGGTCACTGCGCGCCGCCAAGAGCAGTGTCGCAACAACCAGCGCCGATACCGCGAGCAAGCTCGGAGCCACAAGGAACAGCTCGAGGCAAACGTGCTCGAGCTCACGCGAACGACGGCTCGGCTCGAAGGTCATGTCGAGACATACAAGCAAACGCTCGCGTGGAAAGCGAGGCAAGGACCGATGGGCCGCGACCTGGAGCGGTGCCGCTACTACTGGCGCGTCATGGCCTCTGGCTACGCGACGCACGACCCCACCGTGGCCGCGCACCAAGTGGCGACGATCCGATGCCTCTTCGCCGAGACCGTTCACGTCATGGGCACGACCGGCGTCCAAAGGATTCTCGACCAGAGCCTTCAGTACGCCTACGCCTTTGCCACCGTTCAGATGGAGCTCGAGGCGCTCGAGGTCCTTGAACTCGAGGACGGTCATCTCGTGCGAAGCTGCGGCACACTGCGCGTGGGGGTGACCGCCGAGACGCTTCGTATGGTCTGTCCGCACGTGCTTGCGCAGCCGCGTCTGCGCGCGCGGCTCGAAGGCTGCGTCCTCGTCTGTCCGCTGCAGCTCACTTTTGTTTTCGGCCCGCGCCACGCCGAAGGTCCGAGTGCCGAGACACACGTGACGCGCCTCGAGTCGAGCTTGGACTTTACAAGGGGCCTCGTCGAGCTGCTCTGCGATTTGCACGACGTGGTTGACGTTATGCACGGCGCGTTGATCGCACCGTCGGGCGAGATCGCTTCGATGCCCCGGACGTTCCACAGCATGGGCTGTGCCACGCCACCTAGCACGGGACGAGCACACGTTTACAGTAGCTAATCCCATATTCATTCTCGGTTCTCTCGCTTGGAACATAGCAAGTGTGTTGGAGGCGTCGTGGACCAGACGATGATGCGAGCCGCGTCTGTCCGGTCCGTAAACAGACCGCAGCCGGCGAGGAGTAGCCACCCCGGCGCACCGACTGCGATCATCCAAGTGCAATCACTTACAGTGCAGATGACAGCTCTGGCACACTTCGTGCGACGACCAACGGCAGGCCGAAGTGGCTGCACCTGGCATGAGTTGCAGTCCAAACGCGACGGCTCTGGCCTCTGACCAGTCGCGCACTGGTTATCGGTTCCGAACTTGGTTGGCTTATAGGATTGGGATAGCTGCGGTGGCCGCCGCTCACGCAATCCAGGCGGTCACGCAAATTCGTCCTTGCAGGCGCAACTGCCCTGCACGAGGCTTCTGTCCAGGACTACGTGGCGCGCGTGGAGGAGATAGGAGCCATAAGAACGCTACCTGGCGTTCTGGGATGGCCGCGTCCGGATACGGGTACGCCACATATCCCACCTTCCATAGAATCATGCAAGGCAAGTCACGACCAACGCACGATCAGTAACCAAGACGATGCGCTCGACCAAGCCGGCGCGGAAGAAGCCCAGCGTGCACCGACAGACGCAGTGCCGGAACAACCAGCGACGGTACCGCGCCGAAGCCCGCGCCCACCTCGAGTTCCTCGAGGGCGCCGTGCAGAGCCTCGGCACCGAGACTGCGCGGCTGGAAGGCCAATGCGACTCGCTCTCGATGGCCGTCCAGCGCCTTCCACCACCGCCGTTGGTCGTATCGGCGCACCTCCACGACATTGCGCGCTGCCGCGAGTACTGGCTCGTCTTCGAGCACGGCTACGCCATCCATGACATGGCGACCGCGACGGCCCAAGTGGCCATGCTCCGCAGCCTCATGCACCATGACGTCGAGGTCATGGGCGCAAAGGGCGTCGAGAAGGTCATCTCCAACTGGACGCAGTACGCGCGCTGCTTTCGGACGCTGCAAAAGGTCGGGTCGGCGTGGGACGTGGTCGTCGTCGACGAGAGCACGCGCATCGTCAAGGGCGTGGGGACCATCACGCTGCGCATTGGCCGCGAGACCATCGGCGCGCTCTGCCCACAGCTCCTCGCGAACGAGCCGCTCATGCAGCGCATTGTTGGCCAAGAGATTGTGTGTCCGTGCACGCAGCTCTTTTACATGACCCTTCTTGAGGACCGCGTTATGGTGACGCGCGTTGAGACGGACCTGAACATGACGGTCGGCCTCATGGCGCTTCTGGGCAGTCTCCGCGATGTGAGCGACGTCATGACTGGCGTGCAGCTTGCGCCCGACGCCGAGCTCACGTGCTGGATCCCACCGATGCCGACCTCGACGCCGCCCATGTTGCACTCCGCCTACGACTGTCGGTGAGGCCCCATGGACAGTCGTGCATGGATTGCCCGCAGCCTTTGCATCGACCATCGTCCATCGTCGTCGAGTTGATACAACTCCATTTGAATCTTGACATGTCATGTGCTGTCATCATCCTCGGAATCTGCAAGATATCTACTTTGCTGTGAAACGCGTTTCTGCACATGCCAGGATCAGAATATGGCGGACTGCCTACTGCCCGCATGAGGCATGGCCGGTGCGTCAAGCGAAGAGCTGTGATCCGGGATTGTGAGAGGCACACGGCAACACACGAAAGGGCGCGATCCGGCAAGCGATGGCACCACGCCGCGACGCTTGGTCCTGGTGAGGTAGTATGTACTACCAAGCAATGCATCCATCGTCTTCACTCTCGAAATATCGAACCGGGGAATTCGAGTAGAGCGTCGTTTAGAGGAAGTTGTCAACCGTCATCCGAAGATTCCTTAGTTCCTGGCATTTAGGATTGTTGGAGAGCACCTTTACCATCCCCATATTGCGGGGAGTTGAACACCGGGGAGGAGGATGGAGGTCTGGGGACGGGTGTAGAGCGCGTTTTAGTGGTCGTTGAGAGAGGTACATTGAGTCGGATTACACTCAACAACACCAAACGACGCTCGAATGGAATTCCTTGATCCTACACCGTCCCCACCGCGCCTTTTGTCTTGCCGGCGGTTGCTGAGTCTTCGCCGTCCCGCACATGAAACACGCCTTGTGATCAACGAGACAGCGTTGTGGCAATCACACTGGCTTGTGATTGCCACCACGCTGTCTCGTTCTAATCACGCCCATCGCGAAATTGGAAGAAACGGCCTAGCTCGATCTCGAGAGCGTGGCCACTATCCTAGAACCATCGATCCGAATGAGCGTCGACGGGCGGCTTTGTAAGACCCACCCCCGCCGCCTCCAGCAGTGCC